TACCGAACGACGATATATCGTCGTTCAAATTTTCAACAAATAATGAAACACAATTCGTAACGTTTTATTCTCCCTTTATTTCCGAATATGCTGCTTTTTATATTTTGTAAATATCACTTCTACTTTCGTTTTTACGAGCATTTTCGCAAACCTCTGCAAATTCGCCGATTCGGCCCAGTATTCTTCGCTTATTGTTAGGTACGTTCTTTTCACCGGTACTAAAAGGGTTAATACATATATTATTTATTATTATTTATTATTTATTACTTAATAGACGAAATAGATAGATAGATTTATGACTTAATAAAAGATTAATGTGCGACTCGGAATTGCACGTTCCGCTTGTTGTCCCTTGGCTGGTAGGAGAGCACGATTTTTCAGAGGATCACGGCGATAACACGACGCGTTATTGATGAGGCATTTAGATCCCGATGTGTATCACGGAGATGCTGCAGTCACGTACAGGCGAACAGGCGATATTTTTCCTTACGTGTACCCGGACTCCTCGCGTCAGCTACGGAGCGCGTCTCTAAATCTCTGTTCCGCTTGCGCGTTCCCATTGAAATTGGATTTCCAGGACGTCACCGAAGGGCAGAACTTAGACGTGAAACGCGAAACCTAGAAGCATCTAAGTATCGCCAAGTCAATTAACTCGATCAATTAATATCGATCGATAATTTTTACCAGTCATAAGTGCTTTCAGTAAAATTGACTCAAGTTTAACAAGTTTGCACCATGCGTTCCTACGTAAAATCAAAATCATACTCTTCTATCATTATGAAAGAAATCTTTGGATAGTCGAGTTTTCTTATATTGAAATTTTCGATAAGAAACGAGAGGTCAGATGCTTTCAGCCATGGGCCGCGAGAATTCATATTTTCCAGCAGCGTTAGAGTGTTCGTTGTAATTTTCAACTACTTCGGAACGGCGTTAACGGGTTCTGAGAACTTTTGCACGGTCTCTTGATATACGTAAAGCCAGACTTCTGGACAGAACTCGGCAGCGAATGAATAACGGGTGACTCTTCGTCCGCTCGGAAAATTTCATCTTGGAGTAATAGACCGGGCGCGCGTAACACAAAAAATGGAACAATTTTCTACAGTCTGCCATTGATAGGGGAAATATTTACAGCCACAAGCTGTAGATAGATGTACTTAAAAATCTTCGTTACGTGTTAATGCATACTTAAACATTAACTTTAGTTAGCAAAAAGAACGTAGTTTCTTGAAACAACTTTCAAACAGTCTGCCTTGTGAAATTTCGTCAACTTTACGCTAACATTAGCCTAAATTGAGCTTGGCAGATTGTAAAAAATTGTTCTTAGACGATTGTTCTTATACGATTTAATTGCTAACTAACATAAGTACGCTTTATTCTTGTACTGGAGAAAACCATCTGCCAATGAGCTTTTCATGGATCGCGCAATCTTGCCTTGTGCTCAAATAAATGGCAGACTGTTTGAAATTTGTTTCAAGAAACTACGTTCTTTTTGCTAACTAAAGTTAATGTTTAAGTATGCATTAACACGTAACGAAGATTTTTAAGAACATCTGTCTACAGCTTGTGGCTGTAAATATTTCCCCTATCAATGGCAGACTGTAAAAAATTATTCCATTTTTTGTGTTACGAGCACCCGGACTATAAACGAAAAACTCGGAAACAAGGAAGACACATGGAAGCTTGAGTACTCATCCTTTCTTATAGACAGTTGAAGTGTTCCATCAAGTAGATAAAGTGTCTCCCCGGTTTGTTTATACTTATCACGAACCAGGTAAGGATTCCTTTCTGGCTCCTCCCGTTTCCTATTTTCCCGTCTCCTCAGACTGGAAAGGTAATGTAAAAGCTGAGAGGGCGGGAAGGAATTAAATGGAACTTCAAGGGGACAAAAGGGAATTCGCACAGACGGCTTATCGAATTATTCATTTTAACGGAGCTCCTTTGTCTTGTTTTCTGCGTTGTTTGTCTTTCGAATTAACCTCGGGCGAAAATCTAAGGCGATAACCACGCTCGATGATAATTGAATCCCGTACACAAGACTACGTCTATGCTTCTCATTCCGTGCGCATACTCGAAACCTTGTAACCATTTCCGTTCGCATTAAACCCTTTCACGTTTCTCGTTCTACTTATATTCAAGTCGGAGTGCACGCGATGAGAGAAGGCAAGTGCGAGTTCGTCTTTTCGCATTTCTCCGAGTTCTTTAGCGAACGAGGCGAGAGAATGTTTCGAGGAATCGGGTTTGTCACTCGCCGTGAAAATCCGTCGGTTTCTTCCTCTTGAGACTTTCCGTAGCGCTGTTTTCAACCCAACCAATGAGCGAACGGGATGAATAAATGGAGCCACGTTCGACTACAAAGCGAGTTGTGGTTAACTTCCACTCGCTCGTGTATTGGATGCCGAATTTCGTGTCGTTTATTACCTCACAAATTTTTCCAAAAAGGAACCCGCGTTCTCCGTCAGATAATAGAAAATTTTAATTAATTTTCAAAATCTGTTAATTTTATTATCGATAAAACTTCGTTAAATTCAGTTATACATTTTTTCTGTGCTTGAGACTCGCATGACGCATGGAACATTAAACGCAAGAGGGTCGTATCTCGCGATTCCATATATTTACCGTGGAAGGAAGCAATTGTCCCATTTTCTTTTACCCATTCGCGAGGATATTACGGAACGCGAGAGACCCTCAGGAATTGCAAAGAACGGTGCGACTTAGGAACAGTATGTAAATGCCGGAACCGGGCGTCGCGACGCGAGATCGTCTCTAGTTTCACGGGAACTTCTAGTGTTAGCCACATCCACTCGATGGGCTTCCCTCGTTCCCTAGTATCCCCGGTGTCAAGGCGATTCGATAAGAAAGGGAAAACAGTGGACAAGGGTGAAACCGGGACGCAAGTGGAATGGTAACGACTGAATGGCGCCTGAAACATTGGCAGTCCATGAATCCTGTTCCTTGAAACTGCTCATTTGCTTTTCGTGCGGAATAATGGACAATAGATTCCTACGTCCATGTCCATAAATCCTTGGACACGTCGTAAAATGTTTAACCGAATAAAACATTGGGGAAATATATCTACAACAAATTGGACACGTTGGGTTCATATAATATCGGTGACAGTATTAGGTCATAAAAACAGGTGATTTATTATTTTGGTCACATAGTAGAAAATACGCTTGATTCAAGACAAAATATTTGCTTAATAATATTAATTATGCTATGCATCGTTAATATTCCAATTTTATTTTGGTGGCATTAGAGCGTTAAAAAAATTCGACCAGAACATTTTTATTGGGAAGCATTTCGCGTGAAACTAAACTGAGCATCTTGGAAATTTTCTACGTGGAGTTCCGTAAAAGTTACCGCGAGTGACACTGCCTGCAATTTTCCCCCTTTCCACTCTACGTCACATCATCTTCCGTAAACTTCGCAATTGAGACGTTCGACCGAAACTTACAAGTGGTTGCAAACTTTCCAGACACTCATAAGTGTATCCACTGTTCGACCAATAATTTCCCCTTTACGCCTTCGGTATCGTCTTCATTTAAGAGGATAATGGCCCATATTTATTAAGTTAATGCCTTCAGCGCGTAGC